GACTTGTTTGTTTTGTTCCTTGTGTTGTACGCCATAGTACGGGTACTACTTCGTGTGGCATGCCGGAAGTTTATGGCGAAGTCAAGATCCCGTGTTGGACGGGTGAGACTTTCTGCGGTTGTGAATACTCGTTGCTCAGAGAGGAGGAAGAGCAATGAGTAGGGAACCTTGGCACATACCCGGTAGAGGAAGGCGGGCAGTGCGAGGTTTCCTGTAATGTATGATTCTGACTCAGACTTTGGCATGTGCCCGGGAGGTGAAGGACGGGGTGATGCACTGTCTTCATTATGTATACCGAATGGATCTCTTGGTTCTTGATAATTATTGGTATTCTAACGTTGTTGAATACATTTGGTTGTTGATGTTGTCTCCTTGTTGTATTGAGCATCAATGGTATGGTATACTATGGTGATTTGAATATGGAATCCTATGATTTTGACATCCAATACGTAATTGTTCACTCGGTTTCTTGTAAGTCTCGGTTTGCATCTGGATGATGGCTTGAACTCTTTTATTGATAATAGTTTATTATATATGTTTATAAACTTGTGTGGTGTCGATATGTAATATTTAACTATTTAACTCACTAAGCGTTGGTTTACCATTTAAGTGGCAACCTCTCTCAGAAAAGAAGACGGACAAAAAGAAAGATTTCATTGTTTGACTTGAAGATTTACAGGGGATCTTGAAGATATCGATCTTGCTTTTGGGTAAATATTAGTTTATATATATATATATATAGTCTTGTCCCGTATTCTTTTGGCTACTTAATTTGGGTTGTAAGTAAATATTCGTTATATCCGGTTTGGAATCGTGTTTTGGGTGGTTTTATCACTAAAATAGAACGGATATTTCGATGTTTTTCTAGAAATTAATATCCCATATTTTTGAGGTTATTTAGTGTTATGCCCAGATTTGTGTGTTTTTAAAGTGTTGCCTCTGGTTCTTCATCGTCTCTGGACCATTGTATGGGCTCTGGACCATTGCCCCTCTGGTCCAACCATTGCCCCTCTGGTCCTTCATAGTCTCCCTCTGGTCTAACCATTGCTCCTCTGGTCCTTCATGCCTCTGGACCAATTCATCGCCTCTGGTCCTTCATAGTTTCGCCTCTGGTCCAACCATTGCCCCTCTCGTCCTTCATGCCTCTGGTCCTTCTTCGCCTTTGGACCGATGCATCGCCTCTGGACCGATGCCTCTGGACCGATGCATCGCCCGATGCATCGCCTCTGGTCTTCCTCCAGACTTAGTTTTTTTTTTCAGCAACATTTTCAGATTTTCCATTCTTGGCCCCGATTGCTTTGTCAAAACTTTTGGAAATATTTAGGATCAATTTTGGTCCTAATAATCAATAAATTTTATTTTATTGGAAATTGTATAAGATTTATAATTTGGGGTTTGTTCGAGATCGATGTTACAATCAATCCAACTCATTAGCATCCTTAATAAAAAGTATGAGTTCAAGGACTAGCTAGTCACTAAATGTAATACGTGGACTTGATTTCAAGCACAGAAAAATGTAAATTCAAAAGAGAAATGGACATAAAGTAAGAAGAATTCGAGATTTTTTTAGTGGTTTTAGAAGCATAATTATGCCGAGAAATCGTTGATAAAAATATGATTGTTATGTTAAACATTTGGATTGATGTCGGTTTAGTAACATATAATGTTAAACAATAGTTAACTGTGTTGAAATCAAGAAATCAGTATTATTTGTAAAATCTATAACAAATCTCTTATATATACTATATTATAAATCATTTGACAAAAACTCTTAAAAACTATCGTTTATACATGAAGAACTGCTTATTGATCCATATTACTTAAAATTCAATACTGCAAGTAAATTGCGCGTAAGTACAACTTATCAAGCTCTATGTTTGAATTCTTATAACTAACCATTGATAAATATAATCAATTACAAAATAAAATTCTTATTTTAAATATAAAATCTAATATATAATTAGGATAATTATTGATAACTAACAGATACTTAATTGTTACTTTTATAAAAATTATATTATTAAACCAAAAATAAATTGTTTCGTCATAAACCTAAATTATATTATAATAAAAAATTTAAATTAAAGAAATTATACAAAAAAATGAGAACTTTTATAATTTTTATTTTTATGATATATTCAAATTTATATTTAAAAAAAACACTATTGTTTGTTCAAAACCACATAAATCTATATTATAATATAGACAGAGATAAAAAAATAAAACGAAACATTAAAATCGAGACACATCTCGCTGCATTGCGCGAGTATCATTTTAATCCATCATAATAAGACGCAATATACGTTTTTAACACATTAAGATGTTTACTACGAATCTATGTGAAATTATTGTAACACGATTTTGAATTAAACCGTTATCTTAGTTTGTCATGTGATGGAATACATAAATGTCAAGTCATTTAAGGCTTCCATCGTAAGTTACTTTGCTATGCAAGGTTTAAGCCATGACAATTTATGATGACTTATTAGTCAAGGTATGCCTTCATGCTTAATTAATGAATTATTTGTTTACCTCTTAATAGTTTCATTAAAAGACAATATCTGAATCGTTRAGAGGTGAATCTTGTTTGACAAAAAAAAAAGTCTGCATCTTAATAGTTCTAAAACCCTCTAAATGATTTTGTATAATGGATCTCCCTTAACCATTAAGAGCCTTAATTTAATTGTACATAATTACCAAACAATTATATTTTATTTTACACTATATCATGAGAGCCTCCTAATCATTTTGATCACTTAATCATTCTGTACCAAACCATTCAGCAATTGCCAAACAGCCCTAAGACTCTCGGGGTTGTTTAGATGCAGAATAATTAGTGGTCAGAATGATTAAAAAGCTCTCATGATATGGTGCAAAATGAAATATAATTGTTTACAAAATTATATTTTATATAATTTATGTATATATATATATATATATATATTATTTTCTAAATTTAGGTCTTAAACGGAGACGAGGATCGGGGTTTGACCAGAAAATAAACTGGGTGTAAGGATTTCGGGGACAGGGGCTGTTTATAGAAACCAGGGCTGGGGATTAGAAGACTCGTCCCATTCCCGCTCCGTTGCCATACCTAATTCCAATAGTATTGTGATGGTAAAACAAACAAGTTGGATGAGTAATTTTTTAACACGAGCGAAAAACATATCAGGGTTAATATAATATTATTTTTTTATATTTTGTATGAATTTTATAAATAATCAATGTATTAAATATAATTAAAAAACATATACCTCAGCGAATAAAATATATTTTTAAATAAACTAATTAAAGTTTTATAAGCATTTGAATATATTTTGAACGACTATAAATCAATTTAACTTGTTCTATTTTTAATTAAGTATTAAATATTATTCAAAATATAACCAAAATTAAATATCTATTGTCAATAGTAAGTTTTTTTTTTATTAACTTGGATATCCAACTCATTATATAAGCAGACTAATTCCAGTGTGACTACCTGTTTTGTGGGTAGTCCGAAGTCATTGCATTTGAACCTACATGGTCATAATGAGATTTTTATTTCTACTTGGATTTGAATCCAAGACCTTCAGTCACTTTTGACCTTTGTAGTCCAAACTCAAACCAATCAGACATCACCCTTGTGGTTAAAAATAAATTTTTACTTTTCAACTGTACAATTATTTGGGAGACGAAGAAAAGTTTCTCTCTATTATCAAGGATAAAAGTGTCATGTAGTTAATTAAAAAATGTAATAGTTGTACATTTTTAAAGCTGTGTCATTATCAAGGTTTTAAATGACGTACGATATGATGTGGCAGCAAGATCAAGCCTCAAGCCTTACGGGTTGCGATGAAAACTATTGAAAAATGTAAATTACCAAAAAAAGACATGTTTAAAAATTAATTTAACATCTCATGATATATTTAAAATAATTCACTAGTAATATAATATGTTAATTAATACAAACCAGACGTTAAAAAAAAATTAGATAATAGAATATGTTAAAAAATAAAATGTTAGAAAAAATGACAACTACTTGTTTACCTATTAATAGTTCTATTAACAGATAACATCTGAATCATTAAGAGGTGAATCTTGTTTAGCAAAAAAAAGTCTCGGTTCTAAAACTCTTTGAATGATTTTGTATTATGAGTTTCCCTTAATCATTCAGCACCATAATTTCGTTGTAAATAATTATCAAACAATTATATTTTATTTTGCACTATATCATAAGAGTCATTTAATCATTCTGTATCAAACTATTCAACAATTATCAAAGAATTTTTTTAAAAAATAGTTTTATAATTTCATTAAATAAAAAAAAAAAGGAAAAACCCCACCACCCACCTAACCAAAGCGAGTGTCTCAACTGGAATTGAACCTGGCAATAGCAAAAAACACACCAGTTTCCCTAAAAGCAAAGTTTCTGTCAGAAACCCCTTGTTTTCACTTTCCTCTTCTATCTCTAAACGATCGTTCTTCTCAAAACCATAATGGCTTGATCGGACTCCATAATTCGCCGCCGTCCATCACCCTCTCAACCGCCGACACAACCACCACCACCACCTACCTCCGTAAGTTCGATTAACTGCTTACTCTGTTAGCCCAATCGCAATCGTACGCTAATCGTAATGTTCAGATCCGATTAATTTGCTTTTTACCACTTCTATTGATGATAGTATGAGAATTTCGTTTTAGTATATCTTGTTTTTGTGTTTAAAATTGCATTAACTGTGTGTTGGTTGGTCTATTTATCGTGGAAAAGTTTTAATTGCTTCATAATTAAACATCAATTTGTGTGTTTTCAAATTTTAGTGCGGTTGGTGAAGAGTTTGATTTCATGTTTAGTTACTCAAATGGGGCTGTTTGGTTGGTTTTCCGTTAAGGTTGTGTGGATTAATTTGTCCGTATAGATTGAGAAGGTTTTTGTCCGGAGTATTTTTTTTGATGGAAGAGCCATGTTTCTAATTGGGAAGGGTGCATCCTCTTATAAGTTTAATGGACAAGCTATTACCAAACAGTCATGTATAACTGACGAAATAAGCTATGATTCCCATTAAAGCTGCTGACAATTAAACCCTAACTTTGGTTGTGTTATAGATGATGGGTTAAGAGTTAATTTTTAAGAGATGGTTTCATTTCCAGCTTCATGTGAGAGAGTATGAATGTCCCATGGTCGAGTAGTTCAACATGTTCTTTTCCTGCATTCATTAGTACACTATCTTTGGTCGGTCCAGGATGGATGTCGGGAGGTGGGAATAGTTTTAGATGTATTCATGTATTCTAACCTAGGTGCTCAAGAGAAAGGGACCATGGGGCATCTCATTGGAAGGGGGCATTGAGATAGGTTTTGTGATGACATCCCAGGCCAACCGTACCAAATATTGTCTGTTTTGTCCACGCACGTGGACTCACGGTTTTAAAACGTGTCTGATGGAGGAGGTATCGGGCCCCGTATAAGGCAACCTTTATTAACCTCCTGAACCAATGTGGGATCTTACATAAAGTAATTAAGACTTTATGAAGAAAAAACTCATGGAACCCGTATAAATAGAATTATCTTCCGCAGCACATTATCCTATGGGGAAACGGGAATGAGATTATGAGACCTAAGGTTTTTTGGGTGTTTCTTTCCGCCTTTGATTTTTACAAGCATCCTTGAGTTATCATGCTAACGAAGGAAGACGATCACTGTTGGCATGCCCAAATCTATTTTTTAGGTTGAACACTAAAAAGCGGTATTTCTTGATAAATTTTTGTTTCAATACGCAAAAGTCAATGCGATAATTTGTTTATGTTGCTACCTTTCATCACAATTTATTTTCTTCCATTTGTGAAATATGTTCATAAAGGGGTTGTTTGGTTGGTTTTCCATTAAGTTCTATATGGATAAAAACTGTCTTTGTGAATTAATATGTTTGTATAGATTTGGAAGGTTTTTGTTTGGGAGGGTTTTTAAATAGATGGAAGGAGTGTGGGAGGGGAGGTTTCGAAAAATTTAGCTTTCTACATCTGAAAGCTTATTGAATAAGGGCATGTTTGTTAGCAGCTTAATGAGCTTAATGGGACTCACAGCTTATTCGGTCAGCTATACATGACTGTTAGGTAGTGCCTCAAAGATATAGAAAAAGGCTTATTCAGTAAGCTTTTAGGAGGAAGCTTTATGTAGAAAGCCAAGTTTTTCCAAACCTGTCCCTCCCAATTAAAAACTACACACCTTCTATCTATGAAAAAGCCCTCCAAAACAAAAACCTTCCCGATCCATACAGACAGATTAATCCACACAGACAGCTCTATCCATGCAAGACTTAATGAAAAAACAACCAAGCAGCCCCTAAGCCACTATCAAACAGTCATGTATAGCTGACCGAATAAGCTACGAGTTTCATTAAGCTGCTAACAAACAGCCGCTAAGTCGTCTTCCTTTGTGACTAAAGAATTTATTATGTAAACAACTATGAGTTATCTAGATGACGATGCACGTCCTTAATAAATTACAGTAGCTATACAATAGTTCTTCTACCAAAATCTTTTTGGCAAGCTGGGTCTTAACAAAAACAACCGCTCTATTATTTGGGGTAGAGGACAGGTATGCACATATCCCACCTCCAGACCCTACTTTTAGGTGAGACGTACTGGGTGTGTTTTGTTTGGTTATAATAGCTCTACTAAAAGTAATAGTTTGTCAGCTCATGGAAGTTTATATCTCAAACTAACCGGGGCAGAATTCTCGAGCATAATACCTGCTACGATGCTTCCCATTTTTTAACATTCACTTTTATCGACTTTTATGTCTTCTGCAATTTTGTCGGTTAAAATATGAATTGGGTTTTTTGTTTTGAAGGTTTATATTGCTTACTTGCCATGGAAGGTACCGATTCAGTCGCTACACTCTTGGAGTCCACGACCTCCAAAATACAACAACTTCAGAAAGCATTTGCCGAGCTAGAAAGTCACCGAGCTGTAACCCTTAACCTGAAATGGAAACAAATCGAGGAACATTTTCACGGGCTCGAGAAATCCTTAAAAAGGCGTTTTACCGAGCTGGAAGACCAAGAAAAGGAGTTTGAAACGAAAACTGTTCAATCCCAAAAAGTTCTGGAAAACCGTCATGCTGCTGTTATGGCTAAGGAAGAAGCTTCATTGACGGAGCTTCAAGAAAAGAGAGATTTTGCCGTCACTGCTATCACTAATGCCGTCGGAAAACACAAACATGGTAATGAACCCGTAACCGTTAACAGTGAGGGCCCACCTGAGGCCGCGGCTTCTGAATATAAGGAAGATAATACGAAAAAGTTATTTGAGAATGGAGATTTGAAACTTTTATCAAATCCCGAACTTGCTAAATTATGCAAGGAGATGGATTCGGGAGGATTGCATAAATTCATATCGGATAACCGCAAGAATCTTGTTATCCTTAAGGAGGAGATTCCAATTGCGTTAAAGGCTGCAGTGGACCCCGGTGGTTTGGTTTTGGATTCGCTTAACGGTTTCTACATCGTGGATGGGAAAAAGGATTCGAATCTTTTAGGTTTGCGAAGAACGTGTATCATGTTGATGGAGTGTCTTAGCATTCTGCTTTCAGACTTAACTATGAATACCGCTACTAAGGTGATCTCGGAAAACGTGAAGGAACGGGCCAAAATTATTGCACAGGAATGGAAACCGAAATTAGATGATCTTGATCTCGATGCCAGTAATGGGAACTCGTTGGAGGCTCACGCTTTCTTACAACTTGTTGCTACTTTTGGTATTGATTCAGATTTCGTTCACGAAGATTTATCCAAGTTGATACCGATGGTCTCCCGGCGTCACCAGACCGCCGACCTTTGCCGCTTTCTTGGGTTGTCCGACAAGATGCCAGGTTGCTATATTTTCTTGTTTCATAAGTGTTTATATTTCTATTTTAGTTTGTGCCAAAATGGGTGTTCACTATTAAAAGTAAGTGACTAATTTCCAATTCTACCCTTAATTATGAGAGGAGAAATTCATAACTCACTCTATTGTCAGGGGTAAAATTGTTATTTAATTAATTGATAAGTGTAATAGTTACACATTTCTAAAACTCTTTGCGTCCTTTTCACTTTGGACATAGTAATTTTCTCTTGATGACCTCTTTCCTGTAATATTTTGCTGGTGGGTATTTTTGTCCAGAATGGAGAGAGTGCTTTCGGCATGCGGTAAAAACCTGTTGTCCCATGTTTGGTGCAACATTACACTGAGTCGGGACCTGAGTGGGAGAAAAATGCACCTCTTTGTCCCACCAAAATAGGTAGAACCAAAATCAGGGAGATAGAGACAAGATTTGGTAAATTACTAAATTACCCTTGTCAAATTGAACCCTAAAACATTGCACAATTTTTTCACCCGCCTACCTCACTCTTTCCCATCCGATCCGGTCGGACCCAGTCATGTCCCGGCTATTTGAGAACATGCACTTAACTCTAGGTTACTTTTTGTTTGAAGTATATAATATTTATATATGGCAAATACTCACACACACTCTTTGAACGACCTTCTGGGAGATCGGGCTCTATCAGTAACCGGGGTGTCGTTGGGCCAATGAACGTTTGGTAACTCTCGGGGTGTTACGGTTGCTACAATGGAGAGAAATTTACTCGGATCACCCTAAAGGATGCAATTTGAACGAAGTTTATAATTTACTTCTTTCCTCTTTGTTTTCTCAGGTGTAATCGGTGTGTTGGTGAATAGCGGAAGGCACATTGATGCTGTTAACCTAGCGTTTGCATTCAAACTTACGGAGCAGTTTTGTCCCATTTCATTACTGAAATCTTATTTGGCCGAGGCAATTAAAGCTCCTTCCACTGTCAAAGCTGGAAACTCTTCTCCTGCTGCACAGGTTTTCCCTTGTTCTCTTCCTAAATCTATTGTGTTTGTCGTTCTTGATTGAAAGTGTGTGCTGATCTTGTAAATTTCCTCTAGATGGGGTTTGGTTGAACTTAGTGATAAACATGTGATCAAGGGGTATTTTAGTAAAATCACTTTGTAGCATACGTGATTGTTGACCAAGATAGTTGACTTTTGTAAAATTCATATAGATCTGGTCTGGTCGAACATAGTGATAAACATGTGGTCAAGGGGTATTTTAGTAAAATCACTTTGTAGCGGTCGTGATTGTTGATCAAGATAGTTGACCTTGTAAAATTCGTATAGTTTGGGTTTGGTTGAACATAGTTATAAACATGTGGTCAAGGGGTATTTAAGTAAAATCACTTTGTAGCAGTCGTGATAGTTAACTAAGATATTTGACCTTGTAAAATTTGTATAGGTCGGGTTTGGTTGAACATAGTGATAAACATGTGGTCAAGGGGTATTTTAGTAAAATCACTTTGTAGCAGTCGTGATAGTTAACTAAGATAGGGTGACCTTGTAAAATTTGTATAGGTCGGGTTTGGTTGAACATAGTGATAAACTTGTGGTCAAGGGGTATTTTAGTAAATTCACTTTGTAGAAGTCGTGATAGTTAACCAAGATAGTTGACCTTGTAAAATTCGTATAGATCGGGTTTGGTTGAACATAGTGATAAACATTTGGTGAAGGGGTATTTAAGTAAGGGCCTGTTTGTTTGTTAGCAGCTTAATGTGACAACTTATACGGTCAACCATATGTAACTATTTGGTAGTAGCTTAATGTTATAGAAAGTGGCTTATTCAGTAAGCTTCTAAGGGAGCTTATGCAGAAAGTCAAGTTTTTTTCTTCCAAAGTTGCCCCTTCCAATTAAAAAACACACTCCTTCCGTTTATGAAAAAACCCTTCCCAACAAAAACCTTCTTAATCTATACAGACAGATTAGTCCACAGTCACACAGACAACTTTATCCATACAGGACTTGATGGAAAACCAACCAAACATCCCCTAAATCACTTTGTAGCAGCTGTGATTATTGAACAAGATAGTTGACCATTTGTTAAGTCGGTTAAGGGAAAAAATAAGTCGGTTAGGAGGGTCCTTTGGTTAAATGTTTTAAATCCATGATCTTCTGATAGGTTTAAGAATGTCACAGCATCACAAAAGAATATCACTTTCATACTTAAGAATGCCTACAAATCTGTCAAAAGGTCATGGATTTGAAAAAAACACTTGTCACGAGGTCATTTAGCTAAATAACCTACAAAACAATCCGCGTTTCTTTCAATTTACATGTTTCAATTTTCAAATTTCAGAATGACGTCTGTGAAAGAGAACTATCGGCACTAAAGGCTGTCACCAAATGCATCGAAGAACACAAGCTCGAAGATCGGTACCCTTTAGACCCACTTCAAAAACGGATCCTTCATCTCGAGAAATCCAAGGCCGACAAGAAACGAGCAACAGAAGTCGTGAAACCTCAATCCAAGAGACCCCGAGCAAATGGCATAGCCGGATATGGGCCGCCACGCAACACCACCACCGTCGCCGCCGACAAAAGCTTCTACGCTGCCAGGTACCCACCACCAACTCAGTACATGTATGAAAACCGACCACCCTACGCTTACCCTCCACCACCGGAGAACCACGTTCACTCGTTTATCGGCACCGCCACTTACAACATAGTTCCTAACCATGGAAACTACTTTGGGAATGGCTATCAATATCAAGCTCCTTATCTTCACTAAGTTTGTAGGGATGGGAAGAAACTTTGATCATGATCCTCTTTTAACTTCTAGGTCTTAACCCTTTTGAGTTATTCCTGTGATGATGAACTCGATTTCGGGAAGAGAAAACCCCACGGAAAACCGAAGAAAAAAGAGCGTACATTAGCCCGGTTGATTTCATAATTTGTTTGTATAAGTTGATACCGTAATCCTTTAATACGTGTACTAATACTATCGTTGTTGTTAGTTTACTTTGTTTATCTTGTCCATATAAAATATGATTACTGAACCGAACTAAACGAGCCAGTATATCCCAACCGGAGGTGGGATGAACCAGGGACAGATTCATGTATAGCCGCTGTTCTAAAAGGTTCGTAACAGATGCCATGGCGCACCATGGCTCGAGGCTTGTATCTCACTCCATGTTAAGACTGTGGCATACATTGGCCTAATGCACGTGTTTCACCCTCACCCCATGAAATAAAGTGGAACAAGATTAAAGAAACCTGTATTTTACCGATATACCTTTAAAAAAAAATCTCTTCTAAAATATCAAACACATCTTCCTCTCTACATATATTTTATCCGTTCTTTAAACAAGACTCAAAGAAATTCCTCAATCATCAATCATAACCTAACCTTTTAGAATGCATAGAATACATACACCATAAGGTAGTTTATAACCTATAACAAGAACATTCCATTTCCTCCATTACTAGTTGCAATTCATTCCATACCCAAAAAGCAAGTGATCAAACTTAGAACCCTAAATCAAGATTAACAACATTTGTAATCAACTTCATATCATAATCATGAGGTTTACCACCAAAAACTGATCCCCGATAACCGTTAACAATCGTTTTACTGCAAACCCTCAGTATAAATCTCATAACAAAAACAACGAACTAACTCGCACTTGCCTCAAAGATCGTCTTGATTCCTCAAAAACTCGCCGGTATCAGCCTGTCGGATAACCACAAGCCCGTTAGGGTCCATCTTCCTACAATCCTGAGTTGATTTTGCAGCAATTCCGAACCCCAAAGGCACATCCGACATAGAAAACACGACAACCCCATCGTAAGCGTTAATGTTATCGGTAATCCGACCTAACCCACCTTTAACAACATCGTTTCCATACAAGAACGACATTTCTGAAGTGGGTTTTAGCCATACTTTATGCTTCGCATTGGCAGCCAACAAATTCAAAGCCTGAATCGTGAGATGGAACTTGCCACTCTTCGTGAACTTTCCGATGTTTGTGCCGAGGGCCACGAGGTTTTCCCGCTTGATGTTGGTGGCTCGTTTGACTAGTGATTCGGAAACGTAATAGACTCGGTTCTTGTGAAGACGGAAACAGTAACGACCTGGGTTTTTATCGAGGCCTTCGTGTGAAGGGGATTCAACAATGTTCTTGAGATTGTTGCCGGTGAATTTGAATAGCTTCTCGAATACTTGAGTCGTCTCGGCTTCGTCTAATGGCCTCATCTCAACTACAGACCGAAAAGTAGCGGAATTCAAAGGAAGAACTGAAACAGAACACGAGTAATACGCAAATCAAAAACCATGGACTAAACCTTATCTTTTATACAAATATCAAATCAAAAACAGACGCACAATACGCAACTAGATCTACGAACAATGAATACAAAACGAGATTGCGATTACGATTGAACACAAAAGAGAAAAGAATGAAGATTGAAACCTGCTAAATCAGACGAGACGGCGGAAAGAATCTCCCTGCAGACGAGACTCGAGAGAAGTTCAAATGAAGCAGAACCCTAGGGTTTTAGGTATACCACCGGAGTCCGGACTACCAGAGACGAGGGTGTGTATAAATGGGCCGACGTATGATAATAGCAGCCCAACCATATATTTTATATATAAATCTGTTTTTAGTCCCTATGGTTTTTTAAAAGTTGCAAATTTTGTCCCTGTGGTTTTGTAGATTACGGTTTTGGTCTCTGTGGTTTGTAATTATTTGATATTTTCGTTTCTAAATCTAACTCCTACTTTTAAATATAAGTATTAAATATGAAGACAGCAATGAATTACGTTAACATAATTACGAAAACAATGATTAATTGTAAATCTTGAGGATGAAAATTGTAATTTTAAAAAGTATAAGAATGAACATGGTAATCTTTAATAAACTATAGGGATGAAATATAATTTACTCTTAAAACTATAAACACTATGCAAGGCCCAATAAGCTCATATTAATTAAACACAGCCTGTTATGCAAGCCGACTAATCCAGAACGACCACCCATTTTACAGATAGTCCGGAGTCATTGTAATTGAACCTCCATGGCTACAAGAGAATTTTTATTTCTCCTTCGATTTGAACTTGAGACCTCCAGGTACTTTTGACCTTTGGAGTCAAGCTCAAACCAATTAGGCACCACCCTTGTGGTTAACCTGTTTTTTTTAAGCGATAAACTATACTTGAGGTCAAGATGATGATTTGACTCTATTCGTTACGAAACCATGGTTGCCCGTTTTAATCAAGGTCCTATACTTTTGCATAATCGGTCCCAAATCCTAAGTTGGTGATCCCGGCCTAAAGTAAAAATTGGGACTGGGTCGAGTAAAACATCTTAATTCTCACTTTCAATTACCATTTATCCTAGTTTAATTACCATTGTATTCACTTATTTGTCCATCAACTAGCTAACATCTTCTATTATAACATATTGAATCAAGTGACTGTTTGTTTAGCCCTTCATGCAAATTGAGAAAACCCTTTTTGTAAAAGTCTTTTGCATTATATTGATTAAAGCCTCAAAAGTTTTGTGAAGGGTCACTTCTTCATATCACTATTAACTAAACAAAGTACATGAAGATGAATTTTATGAAAAAGTGAATGTATATATATATACACATGCACATCACATAAGTACTCTACATATATATATATATATATATATATACACACACTGACATAAATGAAGATATTTTTTAACACACATACAAATACATATGTATACCCTACATACACACACACACATCAAACACAAACATCAAATCTATATACAAACACAGACATAAATGACTACAAAACATACATCAAACAGGTACTCTACACACAACCACAAACATAAATTAATATAAATTTATGAAAAAGGCGACCTCAGGCAAGCAGGTTCGGTCAGTGAGCTCAATGGGTGTGATAGAGGAAACATATTCTTTAACACACACACACACACATATATATATATATATATATACATTCATCCTATGTGATATATACAAAGCAGTACAAGAAGCGATCGGTAGAAGCAGTAGATAGAATGGAAGCAGTGTTCGATTAAATCAGAAATCGAAGCAGTCCAGTCAGGTTCGTAACAGAAATTGAAGCAGTCAGGTTCGTAGCAGTAGATAGAATGGAAGCAGTAACTGTTTGTTCATGGATTAAATCAGAAATTGAAGCAATCAAGTTCATAGCGGTTCATTCGAGAAGCAGAAAGCAGTAAGCCAGTGACATGTTTGAGAAATCAACCTGCAATATTCGATCGAGAAGAAGACAACGTTCTTTGATAGGAGGTGATTGGTAGAAGCAGTAGATAGAATAGAATGGAGCAGATAGGGTTATTAAAAATCTAATAAGGGTATTTTTGTCATTTATACAATTTCGGATGGAATGGATTTTAATTCCATCACTTTCATGAAAGAAAATCCTCAAATGATGGAGTCTTTGGAATTCAATTCCATTCCATAGGTAACCAAACGTTGAAATAAAATTTGATCAATGGAATTTGACCATTCCAATTCTATCAGATTTCGGCGGATTTCGACAAACCAAACGCCACCTAAGTATTCTACTGTATTTGAACCCAATATTCTTTAATTTCTTCAATCTAATATGATAATCAAGTCTTTATTAATACGTACATTAAACAATTACATCATCACGTAGTTGAATGTAGTATGCTTAAGATTTAAGGAGCATGAATAAACTGTACCAAATGATTGATGATGAAAAATGAATTATGAGTAGAGAAAATAACATATTAAAGGTTAAAAAAATATTTTGATGTATCAATTTGACTAAACCATACGATTTGGGTTGTTGGGTTGCACTTTGGTATGAGTTGACTTGGGTTGAGATTTTTCAAACCACAAACATTAATTAGGTTGGGTTGTTTAAATGCATTCAATCTGATCAACTCAACCTATGAGCATCCATAAATCAATTACGCTACTCTTATATCTCAAAATAGTTAAGGGTACAATTTTGTACCAAACCAACCAACATGTGTACTAATCGTACCAATTAAATTGATATCAATTTAATAGGTACCGACTGCAATCGATTGATAGTACCGAACCAAGTATGCAAACTTGGTTAGTACACGATTTTGCAAGTCGTTTACCATTGTACCGACTTAGGGGATGTTTACCCAAATACTTACCCGGTAAACACTTATCGTAGGAGTTAACACTATAATCTATTTTACCAGATAAGATTGTAGTATATTAAAATGCTATGATATGCAACAATTTATCCGGTAAACGCTTACCCGGGTAAGAGTCCCCACCATCACTTACCGGGTAAGACTCTCTATCCTTATCATTTCTTTTACCGGGTAAGTTTTTCGGCCCTTGCCATGTGCATCAGGTGAGGAAAGTTATCTGATCAACACTTACTGAGTAAGTGTTTAGTAAACGGCCCCTTAGTTTTTTATTTTATTTTTGTATTTTTTATGTAATAAATATCAAACATTGTAGCTTTTATTATTTTATCTGAACATTGAATGTGTTTAAATTTTATTCATTGTAATTAAAACTCCTTAAACATGAGATGTGTTACCTGTAAACTTAAAATATCATTTGAATTCTAAATAAAATGACAAGTTTTAAATATGCAACGTGAAGTTGGTACAAAATCAGTACCAACCAAAAAAAAACTGGCATCAATTAAGTCAATACCAAGTACAATTGTTTGGTCCACAATATATGATTTTAGATATCAATAATAATTGCTTGGTACACGGTATTAGAGAAAAAAAGTTGGTAGTTTGGTACCATATCGAATCCACCCCTAAAAATAATTGTTTACAATAAAAAAACGTATATAATTTTAAAATTTGCAACCATCAAGTTTTTAGTTAATAAATTATAAATTTACCTTTTGATAATACAAAGAATAATGAATTTCTCAATTTCATAACTAAGGGGTTGTTTACTTGTGGGTTAATTAGACTTATTGATCTATCTGGCTTATTCGCACAGCTCATTTGGGTTGTTTACTTACGACTTATTCGCACAGAACATGACTTAATCGCACAGATAGAAATAGTGTATTGTCTCCATTCAACCATAAAAATGACACTCCTACCCCTTATTTAAAGCATCATCTCCTTCGCAAATGAGACACCCCATCGTCAGCCTCTTTAGGATTTATGTTTTGATGTTCAAATAATTAATATTGGGGGGGGAGCCGGTCATTTATGTTATTAAGACAGTTGGTTCAGATTAAAAAAAAAGTAAACAACACCACCCATTTATCCAGATAGACAAATTTATCCATACAAGACTTAATAAAAAATTGGGTAAACAGCCCCTAAAGATAAAATTATAAAGTAAACATTTAATTTAAAAATAAAAAAACCTAAAATAACAAATTGGACGTTTTTATATTGGGATGAATTGAATAATACTGTTATTGGATATTACTGAATAGAAAAAAGACTGGAGATCATGTCCGGCAGTCAACAGTCAACCGAGAAGAGCACTATATAATGTATCGTAATAAGTAACAAAAAATAAATTGTGGACCGTTTTTTATCCATGCATGATTTCAGTATTCAAAAACCTAATCATCATTGCTACCAGTTAGCCTTTTGTACCGATAATAGCAACGTGTGGGTCATGACGCATTGGCTATGGTGGAGTTACTTTACAAGCGTGAATCGAGACGACATAAATTGCAGAAAGCGACATGGCTTGTCGTTGTTGCTATTGATGTCCGATTGTGGCTTTTTAGTTTTAAGCCATCTTTATACGAGGTCAATAAATGTTAGATTCACACATGGGTTTTCAATACCAGTAACCAACAAATCATATTTCATATCAAATCCATTTAGAGTGTATATTCAACGTAAGAAAATGCATATAATAATTTAAATTAATTCGTAAGACATCGTCTGGTACATTTTGTTTTTTTGTAAAAGGGACAAGTTTATAAAAATCCAACGAACTATCCCATTTTGAATGGTTAAGCTTCTAAACTATTTTTTTGAATGAAAAAATATTAAATTTTCTGATTTTGAATGATTAAGTACCTGTTTTTTTTAATAAAAACAATCAATAAATTTTCTTATTTTAAATGATTAAGTCCCTTAACGTATTTGTTGTAATAAATTAACCAAATTTCAACAATTGGTTATCTACATTATTTCTAAACTTTATTATTTGTAAAATAGTACCTTCAACTTTGGAGTATTGGCAAACAACACCCTAAAAGTTCCTTTTTAATCAAACAAACACCCGATATTTTGTCTTAAGTTGCCTTGCCTAATGCTTTGGCAAGCAAACTCGATTGCTTTCCCTTGCACTCAAACACCTGCTTCTGCCCACAAAATCCTAAGCCAAACCCTACTTCATCAACAAATCAAAGCTTTCAAGCTTCATCAATGGCAGAGTAAGTTCTTCTATCTCTCTCTACTCGTAATTTTGATCGTTTTTTGTGTTAATTTGTTCCTATTCACTTGCAGATCTGACGGTTATCCAAAAGAGTACTACGATCAACAAATCGGAACGAGGATCCCATCGTCATCCTCTCGATCAACATCAACAACAAGCATTCACGTAACAGCACTCGATGGACTCGTAAACGTCAATTCTCTCTTCACAATCGCCGTCTTCGTCGGACTTTCTCTCACCACCCCGGGCCAACGGAGCCTCGAGAACCGATCCGCCTGCGATGCGGACATCTCCGTCGCGAAAAAGCTTCTGGTATTCGAGGTTGTATCGTTTAGTTTCTTCCTCTTCTCGTCTCTGGTTGCACAAGGTCTTAAACTCGCCATAAATCTGCTGAACAGCAAGGATGTGGATGAAGCTTTTAGGGCACATATTAATCTGAAAGCGTTGCGATTCGGGATGCTTGGATCGGCTGTTGGATCGGTGATGGGATGTTTGTTCTTGATGTTATCAATGGTGAATGTGATCGAGATTCGATTGGGGATGTTGACTTGTGGGAGTAGATCGACGGTGAATGCAGTTGCTTCCATGATTGTACTGGTGACTTCTGCTCTTTTGGTGTATATTTCAACTGCTGTTTATGCTTTCTTACATTGAATTTTCTTCAATGAATCTATGTGGATGGACTCCATTAGAATGAATTTGACGATGGTTGCACTTTGTTGAGGTTGAATTTCTTCTTTGTTTTACCACATTTGGATGGAATTCGGACAATTCCAAACCCTAAACCGACAAAATCGAACGAAAAAGTAAAGTTAAATTTCTATTTCACGTAGCATACTTTCAAAAACTTCTATTTTGATATCTAAAATGTAAAGTTTTATTCATTTAAGTATTCAGATAACCGATTATAGACTAATTTTAAATTAAAAAAATTCTTGTCACTAACCACGTTAGCAAATAATACTGAGTTTGATACCACATCACTCGTCACATCAGTATGATAACCGGTTAACCGAGTAGTTAAATGTTTAAAAGTTTACATCTTAGGTACCAAAATGAAAGTTTTAAAAATACGTTATCCAAAATAAAAATCAAGTTAAAATACGTTACTTTTTCATACAATTATGATTTAAAATGAACCATCTCCGGGTATAAATTGCAAAAGGAATTTATTTTTTTTAGTGTATTTCCTTCGTCTCCAAATAAGGGTTTAAATTTTTATTTATATTTGTCTTAAAGCTAATGTCTCATTTCAAAATAGATAACTAATTTTTTTAATATACCTTTAATTAATGTATAAATATTTAAGAGTTCGCCTCCACCGGCAACACAACAATGTCCTAAGGGTAAAAAGAGAGATATTAATTAAGGGTAAAAATGTCATTTAATTAATAAAAAATATATAATTATTAATTTATTATACATGTCTAAGGGGCCGTTTACCAAATACTTACCCCGTAAGTGTTTATCGGTAAAGTTTAACACTATCATTTACTTACCAGGTAAGATTTTAGTCCACCAAAACAGTATCGTATGCAACAATGTACCCGATAAGCGCTTACCATGGTAAGAGTCGTCACCCTTACTTATCGGGTAAGACTCTTGGTCCTTGTCTCGCTCTTATTGAGTAAGATTTTTTGTTCTTACCATATTCATCCAGTTAAAAAATGTGACTTAGTGTTTACTTATCCGAGTAAGTGTTTGATAAACGGCCCCTGTGTCATTTATGTTATGAACACCTATTTTTTGAAAATAAAAAATTGGTGATTCTTGATCATTTGTAAAAACCTAGTATTTTATAGAAAACATACGAACCAAACAATTGAGATGTTTATAAAAAATAACGATGATTCATTTATTACAATAAAAATGTTTATAGAATATGTAAAAAGTTATAATCAAGATATGTATGAAATAGATTAAAGTTTTAGATTAAGAAACAAGACGAAAGATTGTGTGAAAATGAAAGTTATGGTGAGAAGCATAAAAAGAAATCTGAACCATTGATCACTTTTGATCTCATGTCCACTCGTGTATTACGCTTTAAAAGAGGATTGAGGTACAACTCATTAGTGTTGACATTCAATTAGGATTGATCCAAGGGTGAAAATCAATTATTACGGTTATCACCGTAACTTCCCTTCTCATCGGAACACAACCCTAAAACACAATTGAAATATTTATACAATCAAATATTTATTTATCTGACGGTTGAGATTAATTTATATGATTTTATCTTTGTTTTTAACCAATAGGTTAAAATCAAACTCGTGAAATACGATAAACCGATTGTTAAAAACCGTATCATGCGAATCAGTATTTGAACACGTCCAAACATTATGTAGATATGTTAATCAAATACGGAAACCGAACACACGTATTCGACTCATATAAAATTTTTATATTCATGCATTATGTACTTCTCAAATCCTAAAACAATTACAATGTTTTACTTATTACAGTACCGGTTTATTAGTTTCTGGTATTTCTAAACAAGCGTCTACAATTTATTTAAAAAAACAATAAGGTCATATAATTTTAGATATTAATGATTGTTATAATCTATTCTATATTATAGAGTATTTGATAAAAACTCATAAAAACAATATTTTATACATGAAATACTGTTTATTGATGCATATTACTTAAAACTTATGTTATCTGCAGTTAGTTATATGAATTCAGATATGAAGCTTTAATAAGTTGTACTTGCACGTAATCTACTTGTAATCTTGAGTTTTAAGTAATATACATTAATAAACAGTACTTTATGCATAAAAAATGGTTTTTAAAAGTTTTTATCAAATGCTTTATAATAAAGTATATATTATAATTGACTAATTTTTCAAAATGTTCTCTTCGATCAGCTAGTTTTTTGTCAAATATGATTTATTCATCAACTGGTTTATCAACTACGAACTAACAACGCTTCAGATTATGCAAACTGGCATTTTACTTTTGATTTTATTTTTATCAAAATAAGAATTAAAAAAAATAGTTTAATACCATTTGGTATATTAGAGTTTGGGTTTTGTTGGAGTTAAGACTCTGTCTGCCTTTTTGAAGAACAAAACGAAATCCTCCGTCGCCCTTCTCCACTTCTTCAGGGCGGTGTTCCACCGGTGAGTTTTGGGCGATGATCGGCACTCGTATCGGAGATTCATCACAAGATACAGCTGAATTAGGTCATTTTTATATCTATCTCTTACTAATTTCAACTGTTTTAAGCTTCCGCATTAACCTTTTACCCTAACACGCTACTTCACCATCGATCAATCGCCATCATTCTATCGAATATGTTTAATGTATGTACACACAGACTACATAACCTATGTTAATCACTCTTCGTGGCACACAAATTTTCTCAACAGGATAGGCATGTTTAATTCAAGAGTATAAACCCCAATTTGATCCCGGAGTTGCTATACATCGATAATTTTCTTACTTAGTCTTGTAAGAAATGCTCATTGGGAGGAATCAGTTGGTTAAATCATCTTAATTATCCCTAAGTTGTGAAGATCATAGTGTTTACATCAGATCAAAGTAAGATAGCAACTAGTAAGAGTTCCATCTTCCTTTTTCACATCTAGAGCATACAAGTATATGATGATCTCTATGTTAAGGATTTGTGGAAACATTCACAGACAAAGTTTGTAATAATTTGTGCATGCTTTAAATAAGATGCTAATTTTGGAATGAAGTAATACTGGAGTCAGTAACTACTGACAACTTTTGTTTATAACTTTTGCTAGAAAACTTATAATCATGGTTTTAAAATCTTTTGAGGCCTACGCTTTGAGGCGAGGCGGTGCCTCTTGGACCCTGGAAGAGGCTTACGCCTTGGTCCGGTGAGGCGGTTCGGCGAGGCATGAGGCGGTGTTGAAGCGTATGCCTCAGATGATCTGCTTTGGTAATGGTTTTTTTGGCTTTTTTATAAGTTCTATGTCAGTAGTAGTACTTCTCTTTATAATATAAGTGTCTTCTTGTATTTTAAAAAACTAAAAGTCGAACCCAATGCCCCAATGTGTGCTTCTATTATTTTAAACCCAAAAAAGCTAGTAATTTCTCATCTCAATCAAAAAACGTGGTTTGATCCTTAATCTTCTTCCATGCAACCAATTTTTCCACACCCTATCAACGTATCTCCCAGCCTATCTCGCGGTTTCACAAAACCTTTCATCTGTCAGGGACCAGTAAACCAGCCCCCTTAGTAATTTAATACATATATATATATATATATATATATTATATCGTATATAAATGTGTGTATATATATATATCTGTGTAGTATATATACATATTTTGGTGTATATATTTCCGCCTTAGGCCTTACGTCTCGAACCCCCTCGAGGCTTATGCCTCGCCTCATTGAGTGAAAACGCCTTGAGGCCCGATTGCGCCTTTTAAAACCTTGCTTATAACTTTTTCAGTTTTATTTGATTCTAAATGGAGACATGTAGATATACATTTGGATGACATGCCATACTTTTTTGTGACAGTGGATGTGAATTTAGCAGCTGGGAGTGTGGGAGATGGTGTTGGTAGTGATGTTGGATGTGAACAAAGGGCAGTTGCAGAACCACGTGTGGGTATGGAGTTCGACTCTGAGGACGCTGCTAAGAAATTTTATGATGAATATGCAAGGCATTTAGGATTCAAAATGCGGATTGATCAGTGCCGTCGTTCGGAGGTTGATAAGAAGATTATATCCCGCCGACTTTCTTGTAATAAAGAGGGTTATTATACAAAAGCCAAGAACCAATTTGGGCAGATACGGAAACAACATACTAGTTCAAGACAAGGTTGCAACGCAATGATGCTGGTGCGGGTAAATAAATTCGGGAAGTGGGTTGTGACTAGATTCGAAAAAGAGCATACTCATCCACTAGTACTGTCGGCTTGTCTTTCTATCAATGAAGGGGTAAGTCGTCATTTTACCTACCATCGGTTATGTTTCTTTGCAACTTCTGTATTTTCTGTTGTTAGTGATTAAAGTAGCATTTGTGATCTTCCTTTGCTTAAAGCTAATGTTTTCTTGGTCTAGATGTTACAAACATTCTTCTGAAATGGGTGCGATCATATCAGCACTAATGCACCAGATCCCATCAAAACTCGCAGTTAAACATTCTTCCGAAATCAAAAGCATTAATCATCTCAACAATATTGTTAAGCACATGGAAAGAAACCAGCAAGCATGCAAGATAATAATTTTTACGTGTCTTCGTTCCACGTAACCTTTTTTATGATTTTTAGAGGTAAATAAGTATTACTCCCTCCGCCCCAAATTAAGTGGCCACATTTTTATCTTAGTTTGTCCTAAAATAAATGTCCACTTTCAAAAGCAAGTGCCTACTTTCTAATTATACCCTTGATTATAAGATGGAGAAATTCATTACCTCCCTCTATTATTAAGGGGAAAATTGTTATTTAGTTAACTTAAAGTGTAAAATTACACATTTCTGTGCATTTTTCATTATTGACATTGTTTTGAGATTGATGGACTACTATATATGTATTAGATCCTAAAGTGGTAGACTAGTGTTCAACCGGATGCACCCATGTCTCCTAAGAGATTTGAACTCCCAACCTAAGGGTTCAAGAGACGTAGGCTAAGTTTGGGAACCATAAGCTAGCTTAACTTTTGAGTTTATTGAAAAATCCCGTTTGGTTAGGCATAAGCTAGCATCTTGAAACGCTATTTCGAGTAGCGTTTCATTAAACTCCAATAGTTTTTGCCACATTTTTTCCCTTCCAATTGTGCTCCTTGTATTTTTTCCAATTAGTTTTCCAACATGCCCTTTTAGGTCATTTTACATTCAGCTTATTAGCTAGTTTTTCTTTTACCACACATGACTGGTTTATGAGCTAACTTATTAGCCAACAACTAATTTGCGATACATAGCCATAGTGGTACCGATCAACTTGCAAGAGAAAGTCAATTATTTGTCTTTGGTGCTTGGGATTTGGACAAGTTGTTTTGATTAACATCATAATTTCGTTTTAATTTCCTTCCATGTGAAGGCCAATTCTTGGGGATAATTTTTAGCTGGAATTTTCTTTGTAGGATTGTAAAGAAAGGAGAATTGAAGCACTCACCACAGAGTTGAAGCATCAAGATCAACTAATTAACTTTTACCGCGAGCATCTCAGCACATTTTTGAAAGACCTTGAGCAGCAGACCGAAGTTCTGTCAACAAAAATCCAAGTTGCTGTTAATAATGTGAGAGAGATAGAAACGAAAGACCAGAAACAGTAGAAATATCAACGCTCCAAGCATACAAAGTGAGTATAAATTCCATTCTTACCTTATGTTCGTATTTCTCATACAATATTACACTCATGAATCTTGCCATTTAGCTTATAGACTTGGGATCATATGAGACAAGCCAGTTTTCGCGAGACTGTCTGTATAGATTATGAAGGTTCTTGTTTGGAAGGGGTTTTTCATAGATGGCAGGAGCGTGTTTTTTAATTGGGAGAGGTTGGTTTGGAAAAAAAAACTTGGCTTTCTGCATAAAGCTTCCCCTTAGAAGCTTACCAAATAAGTCACTTTTTATATCATTAAGCCACTACCAAGCACTCATGTATAGCTGACTGAATAAGCTTTGAGTCCCATTAAGCTGCTAACATACAGACCCTTAGAGTTTGAGCCATTGGATGAGTTTTTTGGTTTCGCTGAACACTCATATAAAAAAAACACCAAACCTTCACATTAAAAAAACAACGAATTCTCACGGGAATCCAACTCTTAGTTTATATTTCCTTTAGCATCTCCAACAAATTCTCCAAAATGGAGTAAATAGAGAATCCGGACAAGTTTTTTGCTCCAACAGATTCTCTCCAAAATAGAGAAAGCGTGAGTGCAATTCTCCAAATTTGGAGAACCCCCCAAAAATGATTACTATGAAAGAGAAATAATTTTTTTATTATATTCCCACCAATAAGAAACTTTGATGTTAAACGTTTAGGACAGAGCGATAGTATTTTATTAAATGTATGGAATATTTTAATAGAAGAGAGATCTTTTACAAATCCAACCACTAATACAAACCAATTAATTGAGATATTTATAGAGATGA